AATTTGAACAGGGTGCTTTGCACCCCCTCATCCAAATCACTGATGAAGATGTTGAACAGGGCGGGCCCGAGGACCGAGCCCTGCGGGACCCCACTGCCCACGTCCTTCCAGGCCGAGAAGGACCCATCCACTACCACCCTCTGGGTGCGGCTCTCTAGCCAGTTGGCGACCCATTGGACTGTGTGGGTGTCTACGCCACAGTCCCCCAGTTTCCTAATGAGAACGGGGTGAGGGACAGTGTCGAAAGCCTTCCGGAAGTCCAGGAAGACTATATCCACTGCTACGCCCGCATCCAATGATTTATGCTTAGGGGCAATCAAGATGGGTTCATTCGAGGCAGGTCCTGTCAGACCAACCTGATTGCCTTCTATGAACAGGTCACAAAAGGCTTGGATGCAGGTGTCGCGGTGGACGTAGTCTTTCTGGACTTTAGGAAGGCCTTCGATACTGTCTTTCACCCCATCCTCATTAAAAAATTAGGTGACTGTGGTGTCGACGCCTACGCAGTCAGATGGGTCGCAAACTGGCTGGGGGGCCGCACCCAGGGAGTGGTCGTGGATGGGTCATTTTTGACCTGGAGGGCTGTGGGCAGTGGGGTTCCCAGGGCTCGGTCCTCGGGCCCTCACTGTTCAACATCTTCATCAGTGACTTGGACGAGGGGGTAAAAAGCACCTTGTTCAAATTTGCAAATGACACTAAGATGTGGGGAGAGGTGGGCACACTAGAGGAGAGGGACAGGCTACAACTAGATTTGGACAGGTTACAGGGGTGGGTGGATGAGAGCAGGATGGGTTTCAACACTGACAAGTGCAAGGTGCTGCACCTAGGGAGAGAGAACCTGCAGCACACCTACAGGCTGGGGAACTCCCTTGTCAGCACAGAGGCAGAAAAGGATCTTGGGTCACTATTGATTCCAAGATGAACGTGGGCTGCCAGTGTGGGGATGCGGTCAGGAAGGCCAACCGCGCCTTGTCATGCATCCACAGATGCATCTCAAGCAGGTCCAAGGCAGTGATCCTCCCCCTCTATGCGGCACTGGCCAGGCCACAGCAGGAGTACTGCGTCCAGGTCTGGGCACCGCACTTCAGGAGGGATGTGGCCAGCATGGAGAGGGTCCAGAGGAGGGCCACTCACATGATCAGGGGGCAGCAGGGCAGGCCCTACGAGGAGAGACTATGGGACCTGAACCTGTTCAGTCTCCACAAGAGAAGGCTGAGAGGGGATCTTGTGGCTGCCTATTAACATGCCAAGGGGGACCAGCAGGCAATATGAGAGTCCCTGTTCCCCCGAGCACTACCAGGAGTAACAGGGAATAATGGCCATAAGTTGAGGGAGAGTAGATTCAGGCTAGACATCAGGAGGCGCTACTTCACTGTCAGGGCGGCTAGGAGCTGGAACCAACTTCCAAGGGAAGTGGTGCTGGCTCCTACCCCGGGGGGCTTCAAAGGAGGCTAGACAATCACCTTGTTGGGGTCATTTGACCACAGCATCCTTTCCTGCCCGGGGCAGAGGGTCGGGCTTGATGACCTGCTCAGGTCTCTTCCGACCGTACCAACTATGAAACCACCACCGTTGCTCTCCAAGGATAACTGTTCTCTGTGCAGGGTTAGCAATGCAGCACCAGCTCCAGCCTCCCTGAAATACAAAGCTAATCATCACAGCCTCACTAGCTACTGGCAACCTGAAAAGGACTCTGGACGTGTGTGTGTGTGTGTGTGTGTGTGGATCTCCAGTGACCAGCTGATGACTGAACTGGTTACCAGACAGTGTGTGTCAAATTCAGGGTGCACATAGGTACAATAACTTTATTTCCTGTCCATGTTACCTTGGACCTCTGGGTATTTCACCAAGAACAGGAGTCCGAATCTCAAGGTGGAGCTCGTTGTCTCTGTCCCAGCAAAGAATAACTGGATTGCTGTGTCCACCAGGTTCCTGGTGCTGAATTCACTCTGTGGGTTTTGCTTTTCCTGGAAAGGAGGGAATAGAAAGGACTCCTAGCACATAATGCCCACCTGGCATCTAGTTTGCACCTGGATTTGCCCCTCAACCAAGAATGCCTCTCTTGCCCAGGCTTCACATGACTGTCTAAAGGGGAGGTGTTATTGGGTCTGCTCAAGTTGGTGACTCTAGGTCTGAGTTCCCAGCTCAATTATGGGTAAGCTCCCATGGAAAGCATCACAGGCCTGTCCTAACACGTAGTGGCAGTAGTAACCCTCTCCTGCTTACCTCTTCCATCCTGATGAGGAAGGAGTCAATGAAGTCCCGAGGGCAGCTGGGGTCCAGGCTCTGCTGATTTATCCTCACCCTCTTGTAGGGCCTTGTAGTGGTTATGAGCCCGATTGTGTGGGCCGGGTATGTATTGCATGATCCTCGGAAACATCTCATAGAACTGGGGATGAGGAAGAGGGGAGTCAGGTCAACGGACTGGAAAGCTGTGTTCTCATTGGAGGATCAGGGGGCACCGTGAGTGAAGACCTGCAGTGGCATCATCCATGTTTATCTGGTTTATGGCGCTCACCTCAATTTTAGAAATGTCTCCCAGAATCCCCAGTCCCTTCCTACCCCATCTCCACTTGCTGACCCATGGGGAGATCTCTTCCTTGGACCCATCTGTTCTTGACCCCCCTGTTGAGTTAGACTCCAGCCTTGGCTGCTGGCCTGGCTTAGGTACTTGCTCGAAGTGTTCCTTATGCCCTACCTGTTGCATGTGTGTGATATTGGCCCACAAGACATTGGCTTTAATCTCTGTTGTGCTGTACTGGCACTGTGCCGGTTGGGAGGTAAGAGCAGGGGCCGTAATCCCATATTAATTATCTTTGTTGATGGGAGATGGGGCCTTCCTGAGAAGGCACAACCCCCTAAGGCTGAGAAAGCAGAGGCCATCAAGAAAGCCTCTTCCTGGTCAAGGACAACATCCTGAACAATGAGAGGGACAGGTTCTCACCCTGTTGGAGGCCCTGAGTCTGCACTGGGAATGGGGCTTTGGGATGGCTACAACATGGACAGAATAGGGTCCTTTACCCCATTGGTAGAGACAGGAGAATCTTGCATGTGCCCAATCCTCCTTCTGCCCCAGAAACATCACCTACCATACTTGAGGTCTTGCTCATATCCAAGAATGCGTTGTTGATGCTGCCCATCAAGTTCAGAAACTTCTGGTCCTTGTAGTCGAAGCGGTTCCCAAAGACAATGGAGCAGATGACGTTGGCAATCGAGTGTGTGATGGCGAGGGTGGGGTTGAAGGGAGAACCTGGTGGTGGGGAGATCAGAGGGTCAATGAGCACCAATCTTAGGACTATCAAGCTCTGGAGACTCCTGACACCAGGGCGGGTAAAGTTTTAATTATGAGTTTTCCCCAAAGCCTGGGTTGAGGGTGTGACCTCAAAACTTCCGCAGATGTATGCAGGCTCAGGTTTAGCTGGCTCGGATGCAGCTTGCCGTCATGGGTGTTGTGATGAGGACCTTGGCACCAACTGCAAACATTTGAGAGGGCAATATGAGGGGCAAGGAGGCACGGAGTCCTGTCCTATGCATGGCTGTGCTGTTTGGGACACCTGAGAGAGGGAGCTGGGACTGGGATGTGTCTTTCCATGCTGTCATTGGTGCTGGGGTGTGCAGTAGACATGTGCTTTTAGAAAGGGAAATTCATAGATTCATAGATGTTAGGGTCGGAAGGGGCCTCAATAGATCATCGAGTCCGACCCCCTGCATAGTAGAGTGCTGAGTTCAGATGACCCCAACCAGAGGCCTGTCTAATCTCCTCTTGGAGATGTGAGCTGCTAGAAGAAGTTCTGCAGGGTATGAAGGTCCTCAAGGAATAGAGCCCGCAATGCCGGCAGGCTGGTCTGGATTTTGAGAAGAACCTGGCATGTCCAGGGTGTTCTCTTGGAGAACTCCCCTGGCAGTGACGGGAGCTGCTGGGCTCTGAGGACTTGGGTAAAGCTAAACTCTTACTTGAGACCTGGAGTCTCTGAAAGTGGTCTCTGAGGCATTTCATTATCCATGTCCATTACCCACAAACAGACCAGATGCATTTGAGTTCACACCCCAAGAGCAGTGTAGAAAGCACCAACCTTTGGTGTTCCCCATCTCCTCTACCAGGTACTGAGATTCTTCCTGGATCCGCTCCTCAATGCTTTTTTTCCCCATCCCAAAATTCCTCAGGGTTGAAGCGGAGAATCGCCGGAGCTGCTTCCACCGTGCTCCGTTAGCCAAGAGAAGACCTGGATGGA